CATCTGGTGGTTCTCCACGAAGGCGATAATGTGCTGCGTTCTTCCTCCTTAAGCCAGACGAAACCGGCTTCCCTGTTGCAGCCCACCTTCTCCGTGCCGCCAGCGGCAACAGACTCTAAGGCAGTAACAACCCCAGGCTGGCTGCAACACAAGCCCGACCCGAACAAGAGGTCACTCATCAATGGGTCTCGCAGTAAGCCTCTGTTTCAGAAAACAGTCGGATCTGAACCGACCCAGACATTAAGCGTAAGACCCCAGGCAACGACATCCATCGATTTCTTCCTGCAGAGAGCATCTTCGTCTTCTCTCTGTAATTCTCAATCACTTTTGCTATTGTCTGAGCTGGTCACTAAGGCTTAGTTGGGGGAAGACAGAAACAGAATTAACTGAAGAAAGCAAGAAAAGGAACATGGGTCTGAGCTTGAGCCTGAGCAAGAGCCCCGGGTCTGCCTTGTTTCTTTTTTCCTGTGATTTGCGTTGCTCCAGAGTTTTGTGTTTCTCCTCATGAATTCTTTTGAAGCTGCTCAACATATCTCTCATCCCATCATTGTTACCTTCGATGGCTCAAATTATGATTTATGGTCCTAGGAGATGTGCAGTTTTCTCAAAGGACGTCTTCTATGGCGATATGTGACAGGTGAGATTCCCAAACCTACTAAAATTGCTGATGAAACAAAGGATAAATTTGTTGAACGAGTAGAAAAATGGGATGGGAAAAATCATCAAATATTGACCTGGTTTCGCAATACTTGTATTGCAAGCATCAAGTTGGAATTTCGCAGATAYGACTCTCCTAAARAGGTATGGRATTTCTTACAAGYTYGKTRTTCTATTTCTGATGATGTGCATCAGTTTCAGCTCTATAGGCGTCTTCACCGTATGAAGCAGCAACCTGAACAGACCATTCACAGCTATGTCTCTGAATTACAAGTTCTTTGGGATCAGTTAGCACAGTGTGAACCTGAATGGGATAGTACCTCTGCAGCTACTACTTATTCCAAGCTTCGCGATCGCCAACGTGTTTGGCATCTTCTGATGACTCTCAGGGATGAGTATGAACCTATTAGCGATACTCTACTTCATCGTAGCCCATTGCCTTCTCTTGAAGTTGTGATCAAAGATTTGCTCTCTGAAGAAACTTGTCTAAAAACACTCCGAGATGAGCGATCCTTATTATCTACTGATGTTGTTCTTGCTACTCCAGGTACGTGTGCTACTTCTTCAACTAAATCTTCTAAACGGACTTTCTGCAATTACTGCAAGAAGACTGGTCACACTATTTCTGAGTGTCGCCGCTTGCAAGCCAAAAAGGCGTCTGGACAGAAGTCCTCATCCATGGGTTCTCAGGCTTCGAGTTCTACTGCAGCTGCTGCCACAGAGAATTCTTCTGATAATACCTCTCCAAAATTTTCTCTTAGAGAACTCCAAGCTCTTCTTCACCAGCTCCAACCTGATTCTGGTATGCCTTCTAATTCAGTCTTGTTCGTCATACCAGGTACTACCTCATCATGGTATTTTGATTCTACCTGTTGCAATCATATGACATCCAATTCATCATTGTTTACTTCCAAGTCACATCCTTCTATTGCACCAATTGTTCATACTACCGATAGTTCCACCTTAACTGTCAAAAGTGTAGGCATTGTTTTAACATTTCGTTTGTCACTTCCTAACACTTTTTTGGTACCTAAATTATCTCTAAATTTTATATCTGTTGGACAATTATGTAAACTTGGTTTTGAACTACATTTCTCAAGTCATGGTTGTACTGTGCAGGATCCACGGATAGGGAAGATCATTGGAACAAGCCGTAAGGTTGGGAGACTGTTTGAGCTATCATCCCTTCAATTACCGTCTCTTGCTGCTGTTGTTACCTCTAGTGTCTGGCATTCTCGTCTTGGTCACATTTCTACCTCTTAATTAGGATCCTTAATTTCTAATGGATGTTTGGGTCCTGTTAAAACAACAGACTTTGACTGTGTTTCATGTCCTCTTTCAAAGCATCAGGCTTTACCTTTTACTATAAGTCTGTTTCTTCTGCACCTTTTGATTTTATCCATTCTGATATTTGGGGCCCTTCGCTTCATAATACCATGGGTGGTTCACGATATTTTGTGAGATTCGTTGATGATTTTCTCTCGATATACATGGATTTATATCATGCGTAATAAATCTGAATTACCTGCAATTTATATTCAATTTTCCACCATGATCAAAGCTCAATTTTCCTCTATCATCAAAATTTTTCACACTGATAATGCCATGGAATATAGAGATTCTATCCGCACCCAATTTCTTTCACAAAATGGAACTATCATTCATAGATCCTGTCCTGGTACCTCTCAACAAAATGGGCGTGCATAACGAAAACATAGGCATATTCTTGATACTGTTCGAGCTTTTTTAATCTCTTCCTCTTGTCCTGAACGTTTTTGGGGGGAAACAGCCCTCACTGCTGTTTATACCATCAATCGCATTCCTTCTCCTGTTATTGGTAACATTTCTCCTTATGAACGATTGTATGGCCATTGCCTTGATTACCAGTCTCTTCGTGTATTTGGTTGTGCTTGTTTTGTTCTATTACAACCTCATGAACATACCAAATTGGAACCAAAAGCACGTCTATGTTGTTTTCTCGGGTATGGTATTGAACATAAATGATATCGGTGTTGGGATCCTCTTTCCCAACGACTTTGCATATCTCATCATGTTACCTTTTGGGAATACAAAATGTTTTCCAGTCTCTCCCCATTTCGAGTTACCACGACATCTTCACATTTCTTTACTGATCCTACTATCTCATTTTTTCCTGATGATTTACCTGCAGGTCCGACTACTTTATTTGATAGCTCTAACAGTACTGCACAACCTGCAACCCCTCCTGATGCATCTACCTTGGCTATGGATCCTCCAACTCTGCCTTCTTCTGAGCCCTTGATTTCTCCTGATGCATTCAACCCTGCTCATTCTAATGCTTCACTCCGTCGCTCTGGTTGGGTTACTAAACCTTCCATTATTCTTCGTGATTTTCATTGCTATTCTACCATTGTATCTTTATATGAGCTTTGTACCTGTCGTGAAGTTAGTACTGACCCTCTGGAAAAAAGCAATGGCAGAAGAAATTCAAGCTCTTACAAGCACTCATACTTGGGATTTAGTTGACCTGCCTCCAGATAAATCCGTGATTGGTTGCAAATGGGTCTACAAAATCAAGACTCGGGCAGATGGTTCAGTTGAAAGGTATAAAGCTAGATTGGTAGCTAAAGGGTTCACACAGGAGTATGGCATTGATTATGAGGAGACTTTTGCTCCAGTAGCCTGTCTCACTTCTGTTCACAGTCTTATTGCGATTGCTGCAACTAAGCATTGACAGTTATTTCAGATGGATGTTAAGAATGTTTTTCTCAATGGTGATCTTTCTGAAGAGATTTATATGCAGCCCCCTCCTAGTTATGATCATCTCCCTAATCAGGTTTGTCGTCTCCGTAAGGCTCTATATGGACTTAAGCTGGCGCCTCGAGCATGGTTATCCAAATTCAGCTCTACTGTTTGTCAGTTTGGCTTTCAATCTAGCATTTATGATCATGCCTTGTTCATCTGAAAGACCTCTCAGGGTTGTGTACTTCTCCTCCTTTATGTGGACGACATGATTATTACTGGCGATGATTTGCAGGGCATTTCCGCTCTTAAGACCTTTCTTAGCAAACAATTTGAAATGAAAGATCTTGGTCGATTAACTTATTTCTTAGGCATTGAGGTCTCCTCTGACCAATCGGGATATTATCTGTCTCAGGCCAAGTATGCCACTGATCTTGTTTCTCGTGCAGGACTCACTGATACTAAGACTGTTACCACTCCAATTGAGCCTAATGCCCATTTGGCAGCCACTGATGGTACTTCTCTTAGTGACTGCACCTTATATCGGCAACTAGTTGGCAGTCTTGTATACCTTACTGTTACTCGTCCTGATATTGCGTATGCTGTCCATATTGTGAGTCAGTTCATGTCTGCCCCTCACACTACTCATTATGCTGCTGTGCTTCAGATCATCCGTTATGTCAAGGGCACTTTGTTTCATGGACTTCACTACTCTAGTTCTTCCTCTCTTCATTTGATCGCATATTTTGATGCTGATTGGGCCGGTGATCCTACTGATAGACGCTCCACTACTGGTTATTGCTTCTTTCTTGGAGATTCCCTTATATCTTGGTGTAGTAAGAATCAAACGGTTGTCTCTCATTCCAGTACTGAAGCTGAATATTGAGCTCTTGCTGACACTACCTCCGAGCTACTATGGTTACGATGGTTACTCCATGACATGGGAATTACTCATTCATCTGCAACCCTTCTTCACTGTGACAATCGTAGCGCCATACAAATTGCCCACAATGACGTCTTTCATGAGTGCACTAAGCATATTGAGACTGATTATCACTTTATTCGTCATCATGTGCTCGAGAATACTGTTCGCCTTATTCCTGTCCCTTCTCAGGATCAGTCTGCAGATATATTTACCAAAGCTCACTCTCCTCTTCGCTTTCGTACTCTTGTTGGCAAATTCCAGATGACTGATACATTACCATATTGAGTTTGAGGGGGGATGTTAGCGTATTCTATCAAAATTAGTTTCATTATCTCCTTCCTTCTAGGTACATATCTTATCTTCTCTTCTTTACTTATTGTATCCTCTTTAGGTCACCGACCTTGTCTCCCTATTGTATTCCTATTATAATAGAGCTGTAGCCTATTGAATATATACAAAAAAGAGAAAGATCTTCTCCATTCATCCTTCTTGGTTCGTATCAAGATTTAAGACTTTAAAGAGTAGGAGACAAAAAGCTTCAATTCGTGGAACGAGTAAGGTGGAAAAGAGTCATATGTATCAACTGAGTCTGAGAACACGAGTTATCCAACCTACCGCATTGTTAATGTTAAGCCCTATTTCTAATAAAAGTAACAAAGAAACAACGAATATACAAAGACAACTCGATGAGATAACGAATATACAACCGTTAGAAACTTCGCACCCACCCATATTATATAGATTAGATACTATTAGATGAGAATGGCGAGACTCATCACCCATGAATCCAAGAGTTGCATCTTGCATTAGCTTGTGTTTTTTAATGGCAACTCGATGCTTATTCCAATTTCAGTTTTCAGACAAGCCTTTATACAAACAACGCTAGGATTTGCAAGGGATTCCATTCCTCCAAACATACAAAGACAGACTATTATAGCACTCTCTCTCTCTCTCTCTCTCTAAAGTCAGAACAGGAAAACGATGGGTAGCGAGAACGAACCCGCCAAACTCCTCCTTCCTTACCTTCAAAGAGCTAACGAGTTGCAGAAACACCAACCCATGGTTGCTTACTACTGTAATTTCTTCTTCTTCACCAACCCTAAATTCTGAAACCTTTTGTTCCGCGTGTATGGAATTCTTTTCTTCTTTAATTTTTCTCCCAGGTCGATTATACGCGATGGAACGGGGGCTAAAGATACCTCAGAAGGAGTCTACAAAGATGATTAACTCCCTCCTTGTTTCGCTCATGAATCAACTTGAAAAGGTCTGGTTTGGTTTAGGTTCTGCTAGACGTTTATCCGTGTTAGTAATTTATTTATGGTTGGATATAGTTTCTAGTTCTAAAATCTTACTTCTTGCTTGTTACTTTACAAGTTCGAATTTCAATATGACTGTTGGTGGACGTTTATGGATTGGTAGGGTAGTTCGGTAGAGTATTGGTTTGATTTATTGGAGGTATCACATTGTATTGTTGAAACTTCGATAATGAAATCTGGGAACAGAGATGAAACCATATCTAAATCTACTTCAACTGCAACATCAATGAAAACACTCGTAACATTGATTTCAGAATGTCAACTGTGGGACATGGACGCAGATACGGGAGTTTGAATTTAACTTGTTCCCAGGAGTCTGAATTGGCAAGATAAAAAACCATAAACTCCAGAGCAAATTATCTGTACTTTAGTGAATACTATCCTCGTATATCCATAGGATTGTACAAGTATTTTGAAAAGCTTATCTTTGTTATCTAGAAACATTCCATAAGAATAGCTGGAATTCTTTGTGTTTTGAATACATAAGAAAAGAAGTGTCCCTTCCAGAATCTATGGGGTTTGGAGTCTGCTGCATATATGACATGGATACTTCATTCACTTAGGAGATTACATGTAACCCTAGATCTTAGACATATCCAGAAAGATTTATGGGTTGGATGCATGATGCTCAATGAACCCGTGGATGGTTTGAGATTCTCTTAGGGGATGAAATGGGTCACAATTTTTTTCTAACTATCAACCAGCAATGTGATTGATGAAAATGGTGTGACATTAACAACCTATAGGTGCATTACACTGATTCCAGTATAAGGGTATACAATGAATCTACAAGTGTGCAAGTACAGTTGCATATGCAAATGTTACAACCCTAAGTTTCACAACTAAGTTTTTGGAGATATATTCTTGACACTTCAATCATGATTAATGCAGTTATTTGACTTGGTTTGTTTGTTGACTTATTATTCCAAAAAGCAAAAACTTTATAATAAGATGACCTTCTATTATGGATGTTGGAGATAATGATATTTATCCTTTTCTTGGATTGGATATGGCAACTATTGTGTCATCTTCCACATTCTTTTAACTTTAAGGATATCTTGAATATTTGTGAATTGATAGGCAGGTTCAAGTAATTTAAGCCTTGGTACCTTGTTTGTATGCATAAGAACTTCAATTTGCATTTCTAAGTAGTCGATCAAGACTACAATCAGTCTTGAATTCCAAAAGATTTCGGATTGAGAAAAGTAGAAGAAAGAGGGAGAAGAAAGGAGAAGAAGCAGAAGTGCACAAGGGTTTTGAAAGGAGGGACAGATCGAATGGATCTTCCGCCGCCACTCTCTCAATATTTATAATGTTTACTAGATGTAGGAAAGGGCAGAATTACCCTTAATGCTTACATGGCAAATAAAACAAATAATAAACTGAAATAACAAGCTATCTAAGATAACTACCAACTAACACTGACATGAGTAACAAAGGTTACATGTGCTGTCATACGAATACAGTGGGGACCACAGCCATGGGGCCCACATCAGTGTTCTCTACATAAGTTTTGAGCAATTTTGTTTAACTCTATCTAGACTCTACAAAAGACAAATCATCTTAATCAATTTTGATTTCTTTTTCTTTTCTTTTTTTCTACATTTTTGTAATTGCATAAACAAGTTTTGGTGAATTATCCATGCATTCAAAATTTAAAACCATTGCATCGTAACACACCCGAGCACAAGTAAAACCCATGCAATCATGCAATCAAAAGTAAACCCATTTTTGTTAGAAGTGCAATGGGCACAAAAAACACCCGAGCACAAGTAAAACCCATTGCATCGCAGCCTCACATCACATGTAGCTTCTCATTGCATTTAGCTCCATCACACTCGGTTTCTAATCGTAATTTCCTTGAAGACCCAAGAAGGGTTGTAGCTACCTACATCCTCACATGTGCACGTCAAGAAAAGGTAGGAGCCCAAAAACTAGGTAACTGTATGGACACGTGGCAAGATCCCGATTAGCCCAAGTGTCACAAGTTGAGCAACTCTATTACAAACTCTAAACCTAACTTTTCCAGAACAGGAAACTTCCCAAGAAAAATCTTTAAATAAGGGTTCCCCGAGAGGCTGATAAAAAATAAGGGTTCCCCTTATCAAATTCTGGGAACAAGTTTGGGTTGGGGATTCTCCTTTAAAAGAACAGTTTCCGACTCTCTTTGCTACCTCTACCTTCAAGAATGAACCAATATCTACCTTCCTTGTACCATCTAAATCAACCTCTGGGTTTGATTGGAATTCGGGACTGAGAAGAGATATCAGGGACATAGAATTGGATAGTACATTAGTACCATATCCCTTGTTTCAATCCTTGATGGGATTTTCCTGGAGCCATCAAAGGCAAACAGTAGAATTTGGACCCTCTCTCCCTTTGGTACTGTTGAGCAAGAGTAAGTGAAGAGAGGAGAGGAGAAGAGAGGAGAGATGAGTCGAGTGACTGAAAGCCCTCCAGAACATAGGGGCGAAAGAATGATTTTATTATTTATACTAGTACAGTCGAACAATATAAACATAGGAGAAATTACAACAGTACCCTTATGGTACTAAATCTGAATACATAAACAACTGAMAACACTCCCCCTCAAGTTGGAGCATAGATATCAATCATGCCCAACTTGTCACAAAGATCATGATGTCTGGAAAGGTTTAAACCCTTTGTAAAGATGTCTGCAA